AGGGTTTCCTGCCTGAGCAGGGGGTTGGACTGGATGACCTCCAAGGTCCCTTCTTTTACTCTGTGTGTGACCTAAGGGTCTCTACTACCATTATCTTTTTGCTTGGTCTTATTACATTTATATCAAGCCTAATAAAAGATTGGACAGCCATTTGTCCGGAATAGTATAGGATCTCCTGCTTGAGCAGGGTTTTGAATTATTTCTCCAACTAATGTCTTATTTTTCTTCCTGGATGATAATAATATTAAATTTATACGTTGCCCAACTCCAGCAATTAAAACCTATTCCTGCCTGAGCAGGGGGTTGGACTAGATGACCTCCAAGGTCCCTTCCAACTTTACTACTATTATTATTATTATTATTATTATTATTATTATTATTATTATTATTATTATTATTATTATTATTATTATTATTATTTGGAAAAATGTGGAAACCTTGAATATTAATAATCTAATAATGTGTGGGTGTGGGTGTTTGCATATCTCTATAGATGGCTTTTACAAATTTTAGTTTTAATCGCTTATTTTTCCACTAATTTAATTTTTCCCCCTTTTTTATTCTTCTTTACTCCTTGTCACTCTTTAGCTTTTTCTTAGGTAACAATTTAGATTCCTTTTCTGAATACTTCATACTTTCCCCATATAACAGCAATAGAGTTCTAGTGCTGGTTTTTTTAAAAAATATTACACAGCATGCTGCATATGGCTAAGATATTTTTTTTAATGGCTTGTAATGTTTCCAAATGTAATAAAAGGACTGTCATTGTTGCAGTCCTTAGTTTGTTTTTCTTTCCCCCCCCCTTTTAATTAGTGTTTGTTTTAGACTCTAAAACATCTAGAGTTACATTGTTTGAATTGGGCATGTAAATCTGGAAAACAAACAAAAGAACTGGATTGTGGCAATATTGAGAACCAAACAACAGCATTTGTGAGTGTGTGTGTGTGTATGTGCGTATGTACATACTGATATCAGCGTGATCCCTGTAGCCACACAGATGAAATTCCACCAAATTTTAAT